CTAAAGGCCATTCCTGAAATCGATTATTACAACTGTTTCGAAGATTGGAAAATCCGTTGGAATAAGTGTATTATATCAGGGGGGGATTACTTTGAAGGGGACGAAATTGATTTGCAAGAATAAATAAAGAATTTTCGAAATAAATGCAATGTCACCTTACTTTTTGGACACAGTAGTAGTAACATTTAAAATCCAGTACCCCAGAGGTATAAATTTGTTGTATTATTTTCTTTTTATCTTCAACTTTTTTTTATACATTACGTGTCGTCTAGCTAACATCAAGATATAAGTGTGTCTTCGATTAAATTAAACACGCAATATTTTTACAATATTTCTATATTCGATATCTTAAATAGTTTTCTTTTGAAAATAAAAGAGTTAACTAATTATATACAATTCAGAGATTACATACTCTCTCTCTGCGAATATGTCCGTCTTTACATTAATTATAATTACTTCTCTTCGCGTTATACGCCAATAATTACTATGTTTATTTATGCCATCATGTAAATATGCGAAAATCATTTGACACAATTATTAATTACCTATAAATAAAGAGTCGACTCATTTGGCGGACCTCCTGTCGATATTTTACTTGGGCTGCACCGAGACTAAGTAGAGAAGTGCAGAGAATGCAGGCAGTTCTCAGATATACTAAATAAGTTTCCTCTACAACTATGTGAAAAAAATATATGATTTATCGCATTCTGCGTTCAACATATGTTCAGTAACAAATGGTTCTATATCCATTTCAACGATCCCGCCGATGTTCTTTAATTTCTGCACCATGCGTTCACCTTCTTCAGTTAAAATATTAACAAACTGTCATGGTATATCGAAATGGATGGTAGATGTTAATATCTTTCGCCGTGAGTGCCATTTAGCACTTAAAACAGAAATAAAATTATACCTTAGATTAATTCTAGAATAATTTTTGCAACTGGAATAATCGCTATCCACGCGATAATGCGTTATGAAGTAAGGAAAATAATACAAAATAAAAAAGAAGTAATATCAATAACTTTCGCATACAATACTTTTTCTAAATTTAAAACGATTTACTTATATCCAAAAATTAATTTACAAATTAATATATTATTATATTGAATTAGATATTTCCTACACAAGCTATCAAGGTACACTTAGCTCGATAAAAATATTGCTGGATTTAAAAGGGTTAAGTAACAATTAATTATGTTCACTTGGTGTTAGTGCTTTTCTCTATGTAAGTTTATGATGAATAAGTGAATAATACAAATCTATCACTAAGGAAATATTCTAATCTGCTCATGTGTACAGTTATATATTTTTTAATATTATAATGAATCATGTTTTATCAAAATATCTGTATAGAGAGATGAGTACTCAATATCTAGTACACACTCGACGATGTAACGCTAAAACGCGTGTATACGATTATAATATTAATTTTATTATGTTATCTGTATTGATAAGAAGCCCGATGTTTAGTCAAGGACACAAAATGTCGTATATCAGGCTTTTTCTATGTGCTTGGTGTTGTTAAATATTGCCTGAAACCACAGAATATATAATTATGTGCATTCATTATATTATTCCAATTCACACGTAACTAAATAATCGTTTTGTCGTTTTACAAACAGTTTCATGTAGCGTGTTGCACGAATATACAGAGCAATATGACGGGTTGCGCAGCAGACTTTACAGGAGCACGCGTGGTCGAACGCGGCTGAATATGTAATGACGCATACATATGTGCGAGCGAGTCGCGCTCCTTTTTCCCAATGAAGTTTGCAGCGTTTAAACATAATTATTATAGACGTGTATAGTAATCATTATGATTATTATAATATGAGCCGAAGCGACAATATAAGATGTAAAATTGGACTTTATATAATTAATATGATACACGGAAAGTCTCTTCTTTTTTATGAGGAATGATCAATCACAGTCGTGTTGTAACATATAATTCTCATCGGTTTATTATTATATCCTGTTATAATTGTGCTTGAACGTTGCAAACTTCATTGGAAAAAGGCGCTCTACCCGCTCGCATATATATATGCCGTCATTACCTACTTAACCGCGCTCGACCATGCGTACTTTTGCAAAGTCTGATGGGGACTTTTTGCTCAGGTTGATATGTTCTATTAGCACACCGCGGCTGCGCCGCGAATTGCCGGGCATTTTGTATGTATGTTGTGTGTGTGTATGTGTGTGGGTATATATCTTTCTCTTATATTGTTGCATCTTCTCTTTCATTTAAATACCTCGAGATTATCTGGATGACGAATGGATATAACAGGCACTTGGCAACCCCAAAATCTAATAATGGGATAAAATTGGTCCGTAAAGGTACGCAAAAACCACCAGAGTTTCTCTAGTGAAAATATATTATAAATAACGATACATGTAAATGTATTACTATTTTCACTCTTTTGAATACGCTATACCGTTACTAGTAAGTCGAACATGCAATAAATTAGCAATTAAGAATGAATAAAAGGGAGAAAAAAAATCAGTTCTCTGTAATGTTCATAGTTTTATGTTAACACGCAAGCTTAGTATCTTCTTACGTAAATAAATAGTAAGTTGAACTTTAATGAACTATTATTAATTAATGATGAACATATCATGAACTTATACTTACCTCTTGAAGTTTTTAACATCAATACATTGCCAAAAATCGGAATAGTCTTCGGCCCCGGTATTTGATCGATCAATCTTCCGGCTCTTGAGTGATGTACAATAATTATAAATAAATGCAAGAATGGTTGTAATAATAAATAATAAAACTACGACGTAAATTATTTTTGGACGCGACAGTAAGCGGCAATAAACAGAAATGGTTTTACGAAAGTTCACGATAACTGCGCGTCTTGTTGGAACAATGTACAAATTTCAAGATAAGTATGTGCGAACTGCCGATGGACTATAGATAATGTAATTGTGAACTCTGATATGGTAAGCTCTAAACTGATTAATAAGTCTTATCAATCAAATTTTTGATAAGTACATTTTTAAATCTACTCTATATAAAAATATTTCTTTTAATATATTTTATTTACATTATGATCAATATTATGATAATTGTGTTTATTAGAGTGTATTGTATAGTATTGTGTTTAATTATATCAATCTTTACGCACATTATTCCTTTTTTAATTAATTATTTTATAACAGCGTATTAATAGTTATATTAACATGTATTAATTCAACAACGTAATAGTTATAAATAGCATCAGTTACATTAGAAATTGTGTTATTTACAAACGCATAAGCGTATAATTCGGCTGAAGTTTTTTTTACACACTTCTCACCATTTCTTATCATTCTTTTCATCATTTTCAGTCACGACATTTAACACGTTTAAGACAAATGTGTAAATTATAATTTAATATGTTTGGACGTATTAAATTCGAAAATATGTATATATAATAAGAGATTCAGCTATAATACATACATACTTGGTTTTGTAATGTACTTGTTGTAAATTCTTTTTATTAATTTCATGTGACGATAAACTGTACTGCTATCTTCCAATTATTATAAACCAATATATTAACACATTTAATCTTTCGTGATTAATCTCGTATGACAAAAACTGATAAAAACGAAAGTCTCGATAAAAAATTAATATTATGAATATCAACATTAAACTTTGATATAATCATCGTCTGATATCAATAGTTTTTTTTATCATAACCTTTTTCTTCTTTTACCGATAACCACCGAGCATTCAAGTACAACTAACCGTCGACTATTGTAAGAAAAAACTTGATTTTAAGTTACATATACATTTTTTCTGAAAAAAGAAAAGTTTATTTAGATTTAATTATGTTTTATTAAATATATATAAAGTTTAATTCTATATATAATTCTACATAATTTTATATAATTCTATATAATTTCATAAAAGTTTAATTAAATATGTAGAAAGCGTAAATAAATTATACTTATTATGTTTCTATTAAATATATTAAATATAAAATATAAAAAGCATAAATAAATTATAATTTTATAATGCGGTTTGTCACACAAAGACACTATATGTCATATATTATCCTCGTACAAGAATAAGTGTTTCTTTTAAATTTTGTTACTTTTGGCGACTTTGTATGATACTACGAGACGAACTTGTTCTTTGAAGAGAAAAATTCTCTCAAATATGATATTATAATCTTTTATTGAGCATACATTATTCACTTATATCTATTTATAATATTTATATGTATAAAACATAGGCTATATAATCG